GCCACGGAGCTGTCGGGCAGCGGGATCTTGATGGCGTTGGAGTGGACGGCGTTCAGGTTGGTGTGGAAAGCCGGGCTCGCCGGCGCGGGCGCCGCTGCCTCAGCCCAACAAGAGGCGGCCGCCAGAAGTGCGACGACGCGGCACAATCCCTTGGCGCACCCCACGAGCATCTTGTGGCGCTGAACGGCGGGCCGCGGGTTCGAATTTCCCTCCGCGACGTAGGCAGCGAGCCGCCCTAGTCCTCGACGGCAGCGGGTCCTTTAATCCTCCACGGAATGTATCCCCTCGGTTAAGCGTCCCAGTCCCTTGGCGGCCGCCCTTCGCTCTGCCTTTATGTCCCCGGGGTCCCTGGGTGTTCCCGCCCCTCGTGGGAAGGGGGGGCCCAGGACACGCCCCGGGGGCGAGAAATGGGATTACGGAGGGCTCCTCAAACCGGGAGGAAGGCTTCAGCGGCTTCCCCCCCCCCCGCAAAGCCCTTTGCTCATTAGACGGCAAGGGATTTTTTTCCTCACTCTTTCCGCCTCAAGGAAGGAAGGAAGGAAGGAATCGCCGGGCTCAGCGGAGTTCGCTTTGATTTAAACGCGCACACGCGCGATTCCACCCTGACAGCAACTTCTTTTCTCTCTCTCTCTCCCCCCCCCCAGCTTCTTTAAGCTATGCTCCGACATACGTGTCTTGGAATGAAAAAGTCTCCGCAGGAATTTTTCCGGGGGTGGGGTGATGTAGGTGCGTCTGGTTGCCTAATCCGGGCGCAGACCGCGACCCACGCCGCCACAGCGCGGTTACCTGTGCACCGTAATAACAAATCGATGCTTCATGGGGGGGAGGATAAGAGCCCCCACACACACACTCGACATAAGTCCCATCGATGCCGATGGGAGTTATATCGGAGTAAACACTCCTAGGACCTCAACTCTCGCCGTGTGTAAAGTACTACAATCTGCTCCACCCCCATTTAACTTCCACCTCACACCGTGATCTTGGGCCGACTTGGGAGTAACTACTAGCCAACACACTGTGGTTGACCTCCAATTAAAATGGAGACGAGCGGCGCTTCTGATTCTCTAGGAATCGCCCATCCCTTTCTCGTAGTCCTAGCCTATGGGTATATTTTCTACAGACAATTCAATGGGGCCCAAGAGGGGATTACTATTTCCTACGAAGTGTGCCTTGGTTTACAATCAGAATATCTTTAAAAGAGTTGGGTGAAGGGACAAGTTTTCTTCTCGGTCAACAGTGTGTTGTTACGTGTGAGGTCAACCCTATGAAAGAGAGATCCCCCAAATGTCCGCTTCACAACAGCCCTGCTCAGCTCTTGCAAACTGAAGCCTGTGGTTTCCTTTAGGGAGCCAGTCCATCTCGCGTGTGGTCTTCCTCTTTTCCTGATGCCTCCAACCTTTCCCGGCATTGTCTTTTCCAGATAATATTTGTCAGCAAAAAGTGACTGCAAATAACGCACCAGGGTTAGAAAAGCAAGAAATTAAAGCTCTCGATGAACAGAGATGCCCCACGTCCGAGTTTGTGTGTGCGTGTGTGTGTGTGTGTGTGTGTGTGTGTGTGTGTGTGTGTTTGTGTTTGTGTTTTACACTGGGGTGGCCCTAAGGTCAGAGGCGGCAATGCCTTTTTTGCGCCTTCTGGCATAAACGGCTTGCCGCTCGCAGCTTCAGTAAAGGGGATCGAGAAGGGGCCCGCCCGCCCCCGCCTTCCGGTTCGCTTTGTGAGGCTGTGCTGTTGGTTAGCAGAACCGAACGATGAAACGGCCCCGCGAATGGGCCACTGCTAGGTTGCTCTGGCGTTTTGACAGCTAGCCTCTCTCTCTCTCCCCCCCCCCCTTATTTTTTATTTTATTTATTTATTTGTTCCACCCTTACCTTCAGCCGGGGGAACAGATTCACAACGGGGCTCGATTTCCACATCAAAAGAGCTGGGCCAGTGGGAGCAGAGGCTTCTAATTGCTCTTTGATCGGCGATTTAATGGCGAGGAGGAGAACAGGCGATAGACTGGCATTTGTTAATTGCTGATTAGAGAGGGCCTGAGTTGCTCTGTGGAATTTGAAAAGAAAAGGAGAAAAAAAAAATTAAAGGCACGATTGACCTGGCCTCTTGCCGGCTCCTCTCACTCCCCCATGACTTTTTTTTTCCTGACCAAGATTTTTTTTTTTAATTGTCATCATTGAAGCGGCGGGTTAAGATCAAAAGAGCGCAAGCTGCCTTGAACAAGAACCATTGTCACCCTTCAAGCCCTCTCAAACCGTGGAGCTTGATTAGCTCAGGTCGATAAGGAGATCCCTCTGCCCGGCAGCTTCGCTTGGAGGCGTGAGGAGCCGCTAATTGTTCTTAGCTGCGAGCCGAGATCTTTAGCGAAGTTTGGTTCGGCCGGGAGTTCAAAGAGGGGCAACTCTAATCGGCGCTAGCCACGCGATCCACAAACCGCTCTGGTCGTCCTTTCGGTTCCGACACTGGCGGGGGCCGGTTCCTCCTTTCCAAACCTTGGTCTCGCCTGTCTACCAGACAGGGCCATCATCCCTGTCAAGTGACATTGAACACCCACGTTACTCTTTCCTCTGTCTCAGTAGAAAGGGTCGTTCCTGGGGTGGCGAGGAAGAAACAAAAGCCTAGAAATGTATACTCTGGAGTAAGCCTACCGGGCAGGATCCAGTGGGAGATTTCTGCCGGTGGACTAATGGATTCCAGCAGTTTCCACTCTTCCCGTAAGCCACCACGATTCTCATCGGTTAACCTCCCATCCATCACCCATGAGCAGATTTGGGGGAGCTACTGGGGGATGGTGGGACGTGGGGACGCTGCAGGTTAAACCGCAGAAGCATATGTGCTGCATGGTCGGAAGACCAGCAGTAGTAAGATCAAATCCATGCAACGGAGTGAGCTCCTGTCGCTTGTCCCAGCTCCCGCCAACCTAGTGGTTCGAAAGAATGCAAAAATGCAAGTAGATAAATAGGTACCACCTCGGTGGGAAGGTAACAGTGTTCCGTGTCTAGTCGGGCTGGCCACGTGACCATGGTAACTGTCTATGGACAAACGCTGGCTCTACAGCTTGGAGACAGGGATGAGCACTGCACCCTAGAGCTGGACAGGACTGGACTAAATGTCAAGGGGAACCTTTTTACTGGAGGGAGAGGCGGAGGAGAAAATCTTGGAAACTCCGCAACTGGGACATTGGAATTCACTCCCCCCCCCGAGGGATTCGCTCCCAGGAAAGCAGGGTCAGGATTGCGAGGTGTTAGGAGAAGCACCAGTCCAATATTTTGTAAAATGCAGATATTTAGATACTACCTTTGTATTTTTAGCCCTGGAGAAAAAGGGATAAGTCATAAAACGTAATTTAAATACACTTCTTTCTTCAGTGACACTGGAGGTTAGGGACGCCGGACCCCCATGTAATTAAAAAATCTGTGTATCACTCTTATGCCCGCCAAAACGTAACTACAAAGCATGAACAGTTGATTAAGACACACAGAGATAGCTGGCTGGATAGCTCTGTGTCTTAGGTAACTGGTTGTGGAGGGAGGGGTTGGAAGTTTGATTCCTCACAGGGTCTCCTAGGAGAAGAGCCAGTTTGTGTGGCCTTGGGCAAGCTGGAAAGTCCCAGGGTGACCCCAGAAGAAGGAACTAGTAAACCACTTCTGTGTATTCTCTACCTGGAAAAATCCGAAAAGGGTCACCATAAGTCACAATTGACTTGATGGCCTGATTATTCGCCCACACACAAAGAACAGTTCTCTCTGTCAGGGTTCTCTTCCATAGAGTTGACCATCTTTTCCATACAGCGCCATGTGTAATGAGTCTTAAAGGTCCTTATGGACCTCTAGAGGCTGAATTAGAGCTGTTGTGTTTCCGACCAAGTAAACCACTTCAGTGCATTTGGTACTGAACTCATGCTCACGGTTTTGGGTGGACAGGGAACACCATATTTACTGAAGATTGACTGATTGAAAAAAAATATCTCTGTATAACAAAACCATGCAGTTCAGACACATGCAGTTCAAGGGAGAAATGTATGCTGTTGTTCCAACATGAAGCCTGTTTGAGTTTCTCACTGAAAACTGGAGAGCCAAAAAGATTTGAACAGCTTATCCTGAAAGCACTTAACCTGGGAGTGAACCCTGTTAGAATTAATTATGAACAGGATTGCACTCTGAGCCCACTTAAGGGCATGATATTTGAAAAAATCATGGGGAGGGGGGCTTCAGCTAATGACGAGGGACTACTGGAGTGACAGTCCAAAATATAGGGGTGGGGAGCAAAGATTCCACAGCCACTCCACCAAGTTTTGGTCAGATGTGTAAATACCTTTAGGATTAGTATCTACTGAGTTACAGGAATGGCAACATTGCTTATACTTTTATTGGTGTATCATAAAAATTCATGAAGATAAGATATATGCCAATAAGGGTTTTAGTAACAATGGGTTGCTTTGAAGTCAAGTTTTGGGCAGCCCTGAAGACCAGTGAGGTGAAGAATCAAAATGTTCTACTTTCACTAATATATTAATACCTCTAAAAATATTCCTAGCATGGAATCAACATTATGAGAAAGTGTATCTTTCTTAGCAGAAAAGGAACTCACTCATTTTTAATGATCTATTCTCCCTCTAGACTACAGCACAAGTGCACCTTCAGCGCCAGAGAATTTGCGATCTATGTTTTGTTTTGTTTTTTAAGTGTAGTACATGAGCTGGCTGGATAGC